AGCACTGTCGTTTTGGTTTCCGTTATCATTTAAAGTCAATTCCAATGCAGTTGTTTTTAGTTGGCTGAGCTAGTTTTAGTGCTAATCTAGTTTTTATTTTGTTCCCAAAATGAGCAAAAATTCTATTCAAATATAAAGTTTTTTTTTTGCTTTTTTGTTTTTTTTTTAGTTAAGTTCAGTAGTATTTTTAAAATTCTTTTCATATGTGCACTGTACACCAGTATAGATGGTTCTTCAAAGGTCCTTTGGTAAAGAAAATAGTTCTAAAAATAACCATGAACACACAAAGAACACTTTGTATTATTAAAGGGTTCTTTGCATCATGAAATGGTGCTTCAGATTGATAGACAATGTTCTGTAGATGGTTCTGTATAGAACCTTTTTGAAAAGGGTTTTATAGAGCAGTCAAAAAGGGTTCTTCTATTGTTACAAGCTTGACATCGTACAAATAGAAGAACGTTTTGGGTGTTATGTAGAACTCTTCTCAAAAAGGTTCTATATAGAACCATCTACAGAACATTCTTAAGAAGGCTTTCATGATGCAAAGAGCACTTTAACCATGCAAAGGATTCTTTGAGTGTTTTTAGAATTATTTTCTAACCCTTGAAGAACAATCCTTTTTAAGAGTGTGGTTATCTGTGTACCATAGATTTTCCTGGAAGGGTAAAAAACAAAAAACAATGAAAAATTAATATACAGCCACACACTGCTAACGTGCTGTCATTAAAATACTATAGTGCTGTTACCTTTATTCAGTGTTATGGGCTTAAATTAGCTGAAGAATACAGACTGACTTGTTTAGGACTCAAAGATTAGAACTATTGACTCGGGACTCATCATATTTACTTATGGAGGGTTTGTGTGGCCTAGTTAGAATCATTAGAGGAGTTGTAATTTATCGTTATGACTTAATGTACATTAACACATTGATATCAGTAATAATAGAGCATTCCATGGTCTGTTTTCCTCATGTTAGAAGTCAGGCTGGTTGGTGGTTCTCGCTGCTCTGGGAGAGTGGAGGTGCTTCATGGAGAGACCTGGTCCACAGTGTGTGATGCTGACTTTGACCAGCAGGATGCAGAGGTTGTGTGTCGAGAGCTGGGCTGTGGGGTCCCTGTGGAGGTGCTGGGAGCAGCTGCTTTTGGCAGAGGGGAGGGTCAGGTGTGGTCAGAGGAGCTTCAGTGTAGAGGCAATGAATCTCACATTCACTTCTGTCCAACATCATCTTCACTCAAACACAACTGCACCCACAGTAACGATGTGGGACTGGTGTGTTCTGGTAAGCACTGAATTTACTTAAATATAAAAGTATTATTTGTATTTTTCCCATAAGTATCCACATTTCCCTATATATACGTACATACACACATAAACGTACACACACACATATGTAAGTGTATATAGTAGCGTCCTGCTATTGGCCTGTTCGGCCGAGGACATATGTGGAGCAGCAAGCATGGAGCACCACAGGTATTGCTGTAGCAGCAGTGGGAGACTTAAAACATGTAAACAGTTGTTGTGGTGGGCTTGGGGATGTGCATATGTGTTGATGGTGGTATTCTGTGCTGGGCTGTGGGGCTGGTTGAGTAGGTTTAGTGGTCACCATGGACTGGATATATGTTGCTGGAGGTGACGTGCCCTGTGAAGTGCTATGTCCCCTGTGTCTTCTTCTTCTATGCCTATGCCACCACCCCCTAGTGGCCTGGAGGGGAATAGCAAACTCAGCAGCAGAATGGCAGAGAAGACTGAGTCTGGCAGAGAGTGGCTGAGTAAGCACCACTGCTGCTCTGGCCTCTCACAGGAATGCCTGGAGTTTCAGCTTCTGAACTTCATCTTCTGAAGAGTAAGAATAAGACTGACTGCATGAAGGTGATCAGCTGAAAAATTGGAGCCAAAAGTTCTGGCTCAAAACTTAGAGCCTGGAAATCAGGAGGAGCTTGAGGTGTTGTGATTTTTGTGCGATATAGACAAGAGACGTGTCTCAGTCCTTGTCATATCATGTCTTCAGATATTGTTCTGTGGTCCATCTCTGCCAAGACAGTAATCATGGCAGAACTCACTGTACCATGGTAATAAATGATGTAGGCAGCGTTTGAGAGGAAAAAGGAGAAGTACAGCGAGCTTGCTGCAGTGTGCACAAAGCAGGGTGGAAAAATATACCTACCCTTTCTTAGTTAGCAGCTATGAAAACCCTCTATGTCACTGGGTGTAAGCAAAGAAAGGCATTTAGAAAACTGGATGAGGAGGCAGAGAAAGGGAGCTTGTGGTTGTGGCTCTCTAAGTGAGAGAACCAATGATCTTAGTGCCAGCTACAGGGGGTGGTAGGGCGAAACATCTGTGAAGGGTGGCTCCCAGCTGATGACCCTGCAGTTGGGCCAATGGCACCAGCAGAGGAGCAATAGAAAGTAATGCCTTGAGGGCAACGAACACCTGTGTTTTTATCTCGAAGTGCGTGCTAATGCCTCTCTTAATAAGTGTGTTGGTTCCAAATAACATGATGTTCAAACTGTCTGTTGTGAAACATAATCAGATGTTTTGTTCCATTTTGTTTTTCTTGATTCTGCAAGTTTCGAGGGAATGATTCAAACTTATAGTATCTGAAACATATTTGTCTCTGATACCTTTAATTTATTTTGTCATAGCGAATAAAAGCATTCAGAACAATGGGATAGTGAGATTCCTTTGGGGGAAGGAGCTCATAGACTGTGTCTACCAATCAGTGTTGGAGATAGTAAATAGCTAATCACCCTTGCATGAGAAGGACGTTCTCTGACTCCACTTCCCAAGGGCCTATGGTCAGACAAAACCAGAGTGTGCAAAATGTTTTGGGAGTTGGAGACAACAGGAAGGAAGACTTTTATTAAGCTCATACCAGCCTTGACCCATGCATAGAGCGTTCACTATCAGATCTGAGAAACTGATCTTTTGTTCGTCTATGTATCTGTTTCATTCGTTTTGTGTCTGCCTTAAGCCTGTTCACCTATGCTTAGAGATAGAGTTGAAGTCTGAAGCATGCCAACAACTGATTACATCACTTTTATCTTAGCAAAACCAAGGAAGTTAGTTTATAGCATCACACAGCCCTAAAATCTGAGCATATCCAGAACCATCACCCTGCTGAGTCTGAGAAGTCCGGCCTTGTCCCGAAAACTTTGAAAGTGCACCCGCAGTGCTGCCACACACCCTATATCTCCACTCACTCATGCACCAGTCGTCGTGGGCAGACCCAGCACCTGGGAAGCGGTAAAACCCTCCTCCACCTTGAGCTGCCGCAAAATACAGCCAGCCCGGTCACTGACTAGGGCTGCCTTGAATGTCTGCCTGACCTGCTGCTGCAGCGAAGCTGCTCCAGACTACTCAGAGTACACCCACGATGCACAAACACATATGGGCTCACTTTAGATTTCCCTTACATTCATGCTTCAGAGCTTCCAAGTCTCCATTCTCCCAGAAGGAATGGCCTTGAGTCAGATTGGTTATTGCCATTCAGTGGCTGATTACATTATCTGAGTTCTGTATGCTTCTCTTTAAATCAGCTATATTATTGAAAGTAAATTGAATCTTGTTATTTGATATTTAGCCCAATAAATTGCCCTTTTTTATTGAAGCATCATTCTCGTGAGCGTATTTTCCTTACTTCCTGTGGTTGGTTTGGGACAGATGACTCTAGTTACCCTAGACTCTCATTTAAGGTCAAAGTAATAATAAAACAATGAAATTGCTTATTTCCTCTACAGCCATGCCAAGGACAATAATACGTTCACATACCATGACCCTGTCTTTGTATGTTACACTGGTGACAGTACAGTCCTTTTTTTTTTTGCGCCAGAGGAGGCAACATCCATTATTTCAATAAGAAATCTAAAAGGTTGACTCAGGCCATAATACACATTTCCACTGTACATAACCACTTCAGATGAGCTCAAGCTCAGAGAAGTTCACTGCATTTCTAGACATTCTTGACATATGGCTTCTGCTAGGCATTGTACAATCTTAACTTGCATTTGTGGATGCAGTGACAAACAGTCTTTAATGACAACAGTTTATCTAAGTATTCATGAGCTTGTGTGAAAAATCCACTACAGAAGCTTATTTTCAATGCAGTGTTGTATGAGGCACTGAAAGTCATGGGCATTCAGTGGGGTAAAATACTTTAAATGTTTGCAATCGTTTGTTGAGGAATGTTGTTTCTAAGTTGTTGAATGATTTGCTGACCCATGTTGAGTCTTGACCAATCCTTGCTCAGAAAGGACCAGGCCTTTCCTGGATGATCCCTATATATCCATACATTATTGACTATATCCAAATTATTGACCCGATAAAAGACATGAGAAAGGCAGGATGTACGCCTGTTTAAGACACCAGTTTTCGTATGTCATAGTTCCTAGTCTTCAGTTGGCCCGTCCCATTTTTTGTTTTTTTGTTGCAAATGTGTTGCAGACATACATTTCAGACATTTCAAAATGAGCATATATTTACAAAACAACAATAGACCTCATTCACCAATATCTACTATTAAGTTTTTTATTAAATTTGTTCTTGAGAAAAAATGTAAGAAAAAGAATCTACATCAGATTCATGAAATGTTCTTAAACCACAGAATTATTCACACCTTTGTGCTCATGACTGTGCATAGATTGTGTTCTTATCTAAGAACAAATCCCAAATAAGAAAACATTGGTGAATGTCAGAATTTTCATGAATACTGTTTTTTCTTAAGAACGGTTGATTAATAAAACCATATGCTGATACGGTAAAAGTTTATGGCTGGTTGCCCAGACATGGATCAAGCCTAGTCTTGGACTGTATTTCAGGGCCAATTTAAACATAAATGTAATGTAATTTAATTTAAAACATATGCGTGATTAATATATACTTTTTCATGATTTTGGAAATCTGCCAGATGTAGTAACTTTGCAACATCTACACATGATGACATAGAATAGAGAGCAAAGTTCTGTCTTTCTTCTCTCTTCCTCTGTTATACAGACAGTGTGAGGTTGGTGGATGGTGGCAGTCGCTGTGCTGGGAGAGTGGAGGTTCTTCATAGAGGACAGTGGGGAACAGTGTGTGATTCGAACTGGGATATGAGAGATGCTGCAGTGGTGTGTAGAGAGCTGCGCTGTGGAGAGGCTGTAGATGCACTGAGTGATGCTCACTTTGGTCCAGGATCAGGACCAATCTGGATGGATGATGTGGACTGTAGTGGATCAGAGTCTACACTTAAAAACTGTAGATCAAGAGGGTGGGGTAAACATAACTGTGGTAGTTCTAAAGATGCAGGAGTCATTTGTTCAGGTTTGTTGCTATATACATAACAAATATTATGATGCACATTTTTATTTTTAAAAATCTGAATTACCAAGTTCTCCATCATAAGAAAATGTTGCACTGATTCATAATATTTTAGGAGTCAGACTGGTTGGAGGTTCTCGCTGCTCTGGGAGAGTGGAGGTGCTTCATGGAGAGACCTGGTCCACAGTGTGTGATGCTGACTTTGACCAGCAGGATGCAGAGGTTGTGTGTCGAGAGCTGGGCTGTGGGCTTCCTGTGGAGGTGCTGGGAGCAGCTGCTTTTGGCAGAGGGGAGGGTCAGGTGTGGTCAGAGGAGCTTCAGTGTAAAGGCAACGAATCTCAGATTTACTTCTGTTCAACATCATCTTCACTCAAACACAACTGCTCCCATGACAATGATGTGGGACTGGTGTGTGCTGGTAAGATAAACATCTTTTATAGTTGCTTTTGTATTTCTTCGACTGACCCCATGCTTTGAAATTATTTAGAGGTTTTTCTCTGTCTGCAGCTCTCTGGTCCTTCATGAATATATGCATTGCTCTTACTCTTGTGTCACTCCTGTTCTTTTTGTCATGTACAGTCGGTGTGCGACTAGTGTATGGTAGCAGTCGCTGTGCTGGGAGAGTGGAGGTTCTTCATAGAGGACAGTGGGGAACAGTGTGTGGTCATAACTGGGATTTGAAAGATGCTGCAGTGGTGTGTAGAGAGCTGGGCTGTGGAGAAGCTGTAGATGCACTGAGTGACGCTCACTTTGGACCAGGATCAGGACCAGTTTGGGTTAATGATGTAGACTGCAGTGGATCAGAGTCTACACTGAAGAAATGCCAGTCAACATGGGGTAAACATGCCTGTAATCAGTCTAAAGATGTTGGCGTTATCTGCTCAGGTAAGTTCCTCTAAACCTAAATACAAAATCTACATTATTGATCAACATTGATTTGTTCACTTTTATCTGTCCCTGAATCTATACCTTCTTTTGAAATCCTATACCTGAACATTTGCAAATATATAAACAGGTGAGAAAGTAAAGGAAACACCAACATAGAATCCCTTAGTAACATATTAGGTCACCATGAGCCACCAGAAAAACTTCAGTGTACCTTGGTAATGAAAGGAATTATTCAGAAAAATGTTTTATTGATTTGCCGTGACCGCTTACTCTAAGGGGGCAAATGGATCTAAAGCATGCCAGCAAAATGTCCTCCACAGCACAATACAGCCACCTGACCCTCTCTATGTATGGATCTAATATTCAGGTCTGTAACATTCCCTTGGTGTATACTGCACATGCACTCACTCACTTGTGGGTAACATGGTAAAGGGTGACTGATAGGTCACTACTATAATATCCCTCTGTATGTTTTTGTGGACAGACTGTTCTTGCTGACACAGTCTAATCCCATCCTGCACTAACATTCTCAGTTACCTGAGAAACAGTTGCACTTCTGTGTTTTTTTTCCTTTCATATTCTACTAAAGCATGAGAATCACAGTCATTAAATGTATGCTTTAGAGCACAAATTTTAAACCTAAATACTATCTATCTATCTATCTATCTATCTATCTATCTATCTATCTATCTATCTATCTATCTATCTATCTATCTATCTATCACAAGTTATTCCCAAGACATTCAAGGCCCATCCATCAGAACAATTTTATCCCAACTGTTTTGCATTCATCATTATTTGTTGACCATCACTGTTAAATGTGTTTGCTTCTCTATTTATAATATTTTAGGAGTCAG